CTTTTCTGTTGCTGGTGTTCAATAAAAGTTTGTTTAAAGATCATTTGAGGTGAGAACATTATACTTTTAAGTGTCACTATATGACCCATTTACCGATTTTATGCGTAATTTGAAAGAAAATGTTCCGCACTTGAGAGGACCGTGGCAACCAGCGGAGCTCCGAGGCTAACGGCAGCCAGGGCTAACCCTAGCCCGTCTGCAGCGGCCCTCTCTCGGCATAGCCGTGTGTGAAGGACCGCTGGCTCTGATGGCGATTTTTTGTTGTATTTGGCAAAGTTTTCATTTGATTTGTTTTTATCTGATTGTTCCAATTATTATTCCCCCACTAAATGAAGAAACTCAGAATTTATTATTATCTAGAGACTATTAATAACAGGAGGAGCTGAGCGCGTGGTGACATCATCAGTAGGCTTCTGTTCCAATGGACCCAGATTTATTCTGCGTGCTTCCGTTTTCCCCGAGACCCGATTTTCCTGGGTTCTTCTCAAGAGCATACTTGGCGAGAACACAAGTCTGTATTCGCGCTCTTCAGACTCTCCTCTCCTCCTGCAGATTCGACCAATGCAGTAAATGCTAACCTACCAATGGGCAGAAGTTGAGCCCTTAAGACACGCCCACTCCTCATTTGCATAATGAGGCAGAAATGCGGACAGAAATGTAAATACGACAGGCAGGATTAAATTGCATGGAAGAAATAAATAGGGTAAAAAAATACAAAGAAAGAATAATTAGGGTTGTCAAAAGTATCGATACTCAAAAAAAGTATAGATACTGAAACTTTGTATCCAGATACAATACTCGTTTTTATAAGTATTGATACAGTGCTACTACCAGTGGCACCTAAGCAGTCATTCATCTAAAGTGCAGAATAGAGGAAAATGCACTTTCAGAACACTGTGTGATTGAATAATTCTACGCACTTTTCAGTTTCAGACTTTTTTTTTGTAAGAGGTGCAGCTGCTGAGAATTATTTCTGTTTCTTAACCGTTTTGGCTAGTGTCATTGTTATGTGTGCAAAGCAAAGCCAAGGAAGGAACACTTAATTCTAGTTTTATCAAGCATGCTTAATGTTGTGCACAGTATACAACCTCAAAATACTGTTCTTATTGTTTATTGTATTTATTTATTGTTTTTTATTTATTAATGAAAATATTTCTGTAGAATTTTGGAGTCTTTGTTTTTATCCTTGTATCGAAAAAGGTATCGAGTATCGAATATTATCCTTAGTATCGGTATCGAGTTGAAAAGTTTAGTACTGTGACAACTAGGGGTGTGGGAAATAATCGTTTTGGCGATATATTGTGGTATTCGGCTGCCCAATATGATATCGATCTTTCATTTCTTAGTATCGATTTTCAAAAAAAAAAAATGGTTACATAAAACATTGATGGGAAAATGGGCTACCTCTGCACCGCCACTCTGGCAGAAAGCGCTGTGGAGCCCTTTAA